TGCCCGAGTGTTATTTTGACTCGGCACTTGTTCGTGACTTTGGTCTTGACTCCATCGATCCCGTTAAGCAGTAGTTCGCCCCTGGGTTCCACCCTCAGCTTTAACCTACGCGCTAGGTCTAGGCTGGTAATGATGGTGGAAGCTCCGGAGTCGAGCATGAGCAGAGTACACAAAACCGTGGACGAAGGTCACTGAGCAGGCGCTGTCGTCCCAGGAGTTCACTTCCCACCAGCCTCGGCGTTCTCCGGGCTGGAGCTCAAACCAGAGCTCATCTTCGTCCGGGGCGACATGACTAGTGTAGACAGAACGGGGCTCGGGAGCGGGTGTTGGTGCAATTGACATACATTGAGGTTCGTGAAGACCTACATACGCATAGGCGCAGCAGATCCGACGGGGCTTAGGCTCGTCGCGTACTGAGTACCTATCCAGCGAGCCTAATTGTTCAACGCTGGAGTGGCTTCTGCAACACATCCTCCGGAAGCCCTTGGAGCTGTCCCCTCTGGGCCGCTTCCTTGAAAGCCTTAATGACCGCGCATTCTCCGGCTGGGTGCAGCTGGTAGCATGCTTCACATTCCCGACGCCTGCACTGGCTGGTGAGATGTTCCCCCACACCGATCACACTTCATCAGTTGCCAACAGCGCTCCCTAGTGTGTCCCAACTTATTACATACGGGGCACGGAGCGTGGGGTCGGGGAGCACTGGGGGGACCTCCTCCCCTGGGGTCGTGACGATTTGAGGAACGCCCGTTGCGGTCATTCCACGGCCCTGGAGCTTCCGCGCGGAATACCTCTTCTTTTGCCTACCAAACCGTCTTAGGCCTCGTCGTTCTTCGCGTCATATTGGTACCCGTATCCCGAGTCGTCTCCATCTTCCCACGTCAAACCTTCGGGGTCCGGGGCCTGGGGTTCTGCGACCTCGGGGTCTGCTACGGCCGCATAAGCTCCTCCCCCTCTGGTAGTGATGCCCGGGCCCGCGCCTTGTGAGTTGTGGCGCCCTACGAGAAAAGTTCAACTCGGTCCGGCTGGTGCATGTCAAGAGAGAATACAACGAGGCGGCCGACTATCTCACCTCAAAGACATTGGTGGCTGGAGAATCCTAGATCGTGACCAATCCGGCCGAGATGACGCACTTGGAATGTGTGTCTTCGATTCCGGAGAAGCTGATGAAGCTGATAGTCATTCTGGACCCAGACGACCCCACTCGAGAGACACCGCCTGACGAACCAACTAGTGTTCAGCCAGGATCCGAGTCTGCGCCTCTACCAACCCCGGTTAGAATCATGACGGCCGTGATCCGGAGTCATGCTCGCGGAGACCCCAGTCAGACCGATCCGATGGGACCATTGGAGTATCAAGCGGAAAGGTGGAGACGAATCAAGGCGCACCAAGATGAGGATCACCGTCTGCTAAATCTCAAAAAATTCTTGCGAGGTGAAGTGGATAGTTTCTCTCGCGCGCAGATACGTCGCCTTTCGAAGGAAGCTGACCTGTTCGTGTTAGACAGTCGAGACGTGTTGTTTTGTCTGATTCACTCCGCTCAGGGGAGACCCAGAGATCAGACGGATATATTACGATTGGCAGTTCCGGAGACACTACGCCAAGACATATTGTACTACGCTCATGAGGATTTCCAAGGAGGTCATCAGGGCATAACACGTACGCATGAGAAACTCCGGACAGACTTCTACTGGTATGGAATGTACGCGGATGTGGAAACGTTCGTCAAAGAGTGCGTAGATTGTGCTAGCGGAAAGGGACACCCCCTGACCAGGGGCCCTCCACCGGGAACATTGAGCCGACTCGCCCATTTGAGATTGTCTCGATGGATTTTGTCACTCATTTGCCGGAGTCCGCCCGGGGCAACACTTTCTTGTTGCTTTTCCAGGATATGTTCTCCGGTTATGTCATGTGCAAGCCGATGAGCTCGGCCACTGCACAAGAGTGGCTGAGGCGTATGAAGAACGCGTCTTCCAGAGGTTTGGGGCGAGTTCCATGATCCGCCACGACCAGGATTCAAGCTTTATGGGCGAAGTGTTCAGGTGCTTCAGTGAATTGCTGGGGAGCAAACAACGAGCCACCCTCGGCTACAGACCCCAAGCAAATGGCCAACAAGAACGGTCAGTCCAGACGGTGATTCGAAGTGTGCGTGCATATGTGACTGAGGCAGATCAGTCCGACTGGGACGATCACGCCGAACGCCTGATGTTCGCGTTGAATACCTCTTTTGACGCAACCCGTCTGGACGCACCGTTTTACCTGGTATTGGTACACGGTTGGGACGCCCAAGCGACAGTGTTAGCAATACTAGGACCGAAGCCATCTGGTGTTGGCGAGCGAACAGCGTATGAGTGGCGGAGGAAACTGCAGCGCGATTACAGCTATGTGCAAGCCTGTGCAGAAAACCTGCAGCGGAAAGCCAAGCGGGATCGTGCGATCACACAAACCCGGAAGTGGAGAGCCCTGTCGGATCGGATCAAGGCGGGATTTTTGGTGGGAGACGCGGTATGGCTATACATCCCGAAAGTCCAGCCAGGGTTGAGCCGCAAGCTCGCTCACCTTTGGCATGGACCTTTCCGGATCGCTGAGGTGACGGACGATTTTCGTGTAAGACTCAAGATTGACGACATCGGCTAACGTGTGAACCCACGGGTACACATCAGCCGACTCAAGCCTCGAGCGTTGTTTCCCAAACGACCGACAGTCCGGACGGAAATCCATGATGAAGATTTGGCCGCAGCTCTGCTGCCAGAGGACGGTTGGGAAGTGGATAACACCAACAACGAGTATGAAGTCGAAGAGATTCTGGACCTACGCTGGTCCAAGTGGACCCGCACTTCCAAGCGTATCCGCGAATATCTCGTCAAGTGGAGAGGCTAAGACGAGCCAGACTGAGTACCACTAGCTCAGCTGTGCTGTGGTGCCCACCTCTATGAGTTCAATCAAGGGGCGAAAGCCCGCGCACGTTCCCAAGCCATGCAGACTGGATACGACCACCCGGGTTGTAAAGCTTCGAGTGATTCCGCCCGGTCGGACTGCAACGTCTGCCGGGCCCCGCGGCTGAGTGATGACATTTGGCCGAGATGCGTGTTATGATGTTGGATTTCTCTAGGAAGTGATTGTTTTCGAGTGGATTCCAGATGATTGAAGCCAAATGGCAAAAGGTGGATTTAGTGATTATGACGAATATGTGGAAGCAAAAGAGGTTAAAATGCAGAAGATGATATTGACTGATTAAACAACAAAGAGAAGATGCACTGCGAAACAACATAGAGGTCTCGATGGGATTGCCCTAGAGGAGAACCTCGGCCGCAGGAGAGTGGATGGGGTTTCGACGGCGGACGTCTTCGGGCTTCAGCTGATCACGGACTTCCTTTGGGACGTGTGCGAACCGGCCGATGTCACTGCAGTAGGCTGTCCACTGGGTACGCGCAGGAAACTCGCGCTCAGCTGCTTCGACTTGTTGCTCCAACTTGAAATTCCCACCCGAGGAGTTGGGAGTCTTGCGGTGTGCCAACAACAAGTAGCACACTTTCAGTGGGTAGAGCCAGAAGCCAGGTTCCCAGACGATAGTTCGCGGAACACCCCTTTGAGACATCCGCTCAAAACGTTTCTCGAAGCCGCGCCCGACCGTCTCATGCCGATTAGAACGATCCGCGTAGATGGCGCTGGATGTAGCATAGGGGTCGCTGCGTGAACCAGCGCTCTCTCCCTTTTCCGGCTGAGTCTTCATGACGAACCAATGGAGCATGTCCCAGAAGGCTCGGGAGTTGTCCTTCATGAACTGGATGTGCTTGTCGAGCGCCTTCACAGCCGCAGGCGAGAAATCAGAGCCCAAGTGGAAGTACAAGTACTTCTCCCGGTTGGCAAACATGACCTTCCATGGCCGCTTGGAAATCAACGCGAGGTATTGTTTCAGCATGGGGATCCAACGCCGCATGAGGAAGACGATATCCGACAATTGGGGGGCGTAGTCAGTAAAGCCCGGCGTTTGACCTTCAGTGCCATCCTTCTTAGGAGAGAACCGACAGAGTATTCCACGGCGATGCCACAGTAGCAGTAGGCTTGGAGCATCCAGACGACATGCCATCGCCGCCGTGGCCCGCGCCGGCCTCGGTGTCCTCGGTGGAAGTGTCCGCAGGCCGGAGTTGCGCTGGGATTGGCGGCGCAGACGCTGTAGATGGCGTGGGTGTGGGCGCCGGCGTAGGAGTGGACAGAGCCCTCTCCGTTGTTGTCGTGGTGGCAGGAATCGTGGTGACAGGAGTGCCGGAAGTGGCCATGACTGAGGTTCGCTGCTGGCGGCGCAATTTGCGTTGTGAGGCAAATTTCTTGGATCT